TTTCTTATTGAACTATTTTTAAATATCTTTTGAGACAAGGTCTCATGTATCCCATGTTGTTCTTGAACTTCTGTATAGCAGAGGATGGATGGTATTGCATTTGGATCCTCCTGCCTCCACCTATAAAATGCTAGAATTATCGTCATGTACCACCACATCTAGTGCACTGGCTAGTTTTATGTCAACTTGACACAAGCTAGAGTCATCAGGGAAGGGACCTCACCTGAGAAAACATCTCTATAAGCTCAGGCGGTAGGCAAGCCTGGAGGGCATTTTCTTAATTAGTGACTGATGTGGGAGGGCCCAGCCCATGATGGCTGGGGCCACCCCTTGGCTGGTTGTCCTGGGTTCTATAAGAAAGCAGGCTGAGCAAGCCAGGGGAAACAAGCCAGCAAGCAGCACCCCTCCATGGCCTCTGCATCAGCTCCTGCCTCCAGGTTCCTACCCTGTTTGAGTTCTGGTCCTAACATCCTTCAGTGTTGGGCTATCATGTGCAAGTGTGAGCCGAATCAACTCTTTCCTCCCCAAGTTGCTTTAGTTATGGTGTTTTACCACAGCAATAGTAACCATAAATAAGACACCCAGCTTTTAAAATATAACATTTTTTTATCAACTCAGAGAATTTCATACATTAATACAATGTTTTATCATATTCACCTCAATTCTCCTCCTAGTCTCCTGATTCCTCTGAGACTGACCGTACACCTCTGAACTTTGTCCTATGTGTCTTCTTTTTCTTCTATAACCCGCCTAGTCAAACTTGTGCTGATCATAAACTCATGGGTATGGGACCATCCAATGGAGCATGGCTGACCTAACCAGAGGCCATAACAACCAAAAGAAACCCACGTCTCCCTCCCTCGTTCAGAAGCTATCACCTGTCAATAGCTCCTCAGCTAGGGATGAGGGGCCCTTGAGCTCCCCCATGGTTCACGCTGGAGTGTTGGCTTGTGTTCATTGTTTTTATGTGGTATTGAGGGTTGAACCCAGGGCTTCATGTAAGCTGGGAAAGTACTCCACCTTCTGAGATACAGCCCCAAACCTTGAAAAGGTTTTTATTATAAAATAATTGTATAAATAACAGAGTAATCGTCATAAGGAAGATCAGAGATGTGTTTCCCATGTTCACTTTATGTTTTATATCTTCAGGGCATCTGGCTGTTGATGTCCCCAGTCCAGGCCTGTATTAACTGGCTTTTCAATCTCACAGTAGTTAGTTATGCTAGTTTAAGCTCCATACTCCACTCTCCCCAGATATAAACCACTGCAAACAGCAGTATTTTGTTGTTGTTGTTGTTTAAATGTTACAAGGATTCAGTCTTTTAATATAGCTATTTAGTATAGGAGTTCAAAAGGTATGCACCAAAGATAATTTTTAACACAGACTATGTTAATGCAGTCATCAGTTATAAAAATATATTTTTATTTAAAAATTTGTGAAATCAGGAAGCTGTAAAAGAACATATTAAAGCTCACTCAGTTGGCTCCCCGTAGTTACTATTATTTTGCTGTAAGTCATTCACAGTCAGCATCTTGACTTCCTTATGATACCTCTCTGTCTCCTCACTTGATTTTCAAAGGTTCAGTCAATACTGTCTGTCATGTCCATTTCTCTAATGGACAATATAAACTAGTATTTCAATTTTATTCAATCCAATGTATGACTTTAAAAAACATAACTTAAATCATTTGTATTTATTGCAGTAATAGTTAACAAAAATTTTAGTATATCTTCTCTTTATCCCTTTAAGGACATATTTTTTTTTCTACACACCATGTACTTTCTCACCTTTCCTACCATCAGCTGGATCATTTATTTCTCTTGTACATTTTCTGTCATTTACTGAATTTGAAGTTTGTATTCTGTATCAGTTCTTTCCATATTTACCTTGAAATTTGTACCATAGACACTTAATTTTAGCTCTTCCTAACAAATTATCAAATCAATAAAACTTCTGGCTAGTTCCTATATAAAGGAAGAGCCCAAGATCCTAAATACCCACTCCCAATGTTTAGTGGTATTGCAAAGAATTGTATGATAATTTGAAAAGCTCTAATTATTTTTGACTTTGATTTGCCAACATTTTTACAGGTTATTTTTTTTCTGTGTTATTTCTTAAGTCTCGTTTCTTCCAATGGGTACATTTGTAGTTCTTTCAAAGTGAATCTGTACTTCATAAATTTTGTTTTTGTCATAAAGTTTTGTCATAAAGTATTCCACTCTGTGTGGAATTCTAAGGCATGATGTCTTTCCCTGGTACTTGGAAATTACTGTTGTCTTCCAGGAACGTTGGTTGAGATGACTCCCATTGGTCTCACAGTAGTATTTTCTCCATTGTGGCCTTCACAGTTTGCTCCTTCCTTAGCTTCTGTTATTTCATGGCGGTGTGCTCCTGTGGCTTTATGTTTGCTTAGTGTGGTAAGCCGAGCTCTTTTCTTCTGGTGGGTTGTCTCTTCAGTTCTGAGAAATGTTTACATGTGGACCTGTTCCTTCTTTCTCTGCCCTCACCTCTCAGAGTGAAGGTTTACCTAAGATCGGTTTGTTGCCCAGAATGATCTGGTATGGCAGCCCCAAACTCCCGTGTCTTACAGTATTTTGTGAGCACTTTGTGATCTTTCTGCTTGAGTTCATCAGTAGTAATGACATAATTACAGGTTATGAGCTGAGTCGGGAAGTATCTATACAAGGCAGTTTGTGCTTTTTCCCGATGCAGATATATCCAAGCTCTTCAGCTTTAGGCCAATTTTTAACAGAACTTTCTAGATTGTGGAGTTTATGATAATTTTGCCCTGTGCTTTCATGTCCTACACAGTAAGGGGTTAAAATAGGCATGATTGACTCTGTGTCTTGCACCTCAAAACAAGCCCTGTCTTTAATGGAGAGTTACTTAAGTTCTCATTTTTTACCTTGTCTGGCTTAGTGGAGAAACCCCAAGGCTTAAGGAAGCCAGCCCAGGGCAGAGGAGATGGCTCCATGATCAAAGGCTTCCTGCGTAAGTGGTAAATGGTAGAGCCCTAGTTCAGATGCCCAGAACCAAGTGAATGCTCATGGGGATCACGAGCCCATACTCACACCCTCAGAAAGTAGAACTGAGCTGTCCAGAACAAGCTGGCTATCTAGACGAGCCATCTTTATAAAATTAAGGTTATAACACACACACACACACACACACACACACACACACACACACACATACACACACACACGCTGTATAGCACTTGATGACTTTTTACTCTTTATTATGAAGCTTGTACCACTATTAAATGGCTTTCTAAACCATTCTCTAGAATGGGTCTATCATTTGCTCAGGCATTCTCTATAGTTACATTTTAAGTTGTTTGTTTGGTTTATTTTCTCTTATAAATGATGCTCCTGTGAACACCTTTCTGTATCTTTATGAACATTTGTGCTAGACTGTCTACTTGTAAGCAGAAGAATTACTATGCACCAGGATAAGATTTTGATAATCTGAAGGACTTAAAGTGGGCATGTCATGAAAATTCTGAGCACTAGGAAAGGAAGGTCAATCGTGTAGGAGGGGACAGAGTACAACGGAGTGGAATTCACACCTATTCATGTTGTCTCTCTAGTTCATTCATTCAGTAGGAAGCTGAGTCATGGTACTCTTGTAACTAGTGGGGGGGGGGATAAGAAATGAGAAAAGTTAGATTTCTGCTTTTTTTCTTTCTCTCTTTTTTTCTTTCTCTCTCCCCCCTCTCTCTCCCTCCCTCCCTCTCCCCCCTCTCTTTCTGTCTGTCCGTCAGAAGACTATAGTAAAATTGTCAGTGGAGCTGAATCAAACCATAACACACTCTCCCTCTCACAAAATGATAAGCTTCATTACTGAACTACCACACATGACAGGAAAGTGCTAAGTGATCTCAGACAGAGATGTGCTCAGTTCAGTTTCCTCAATGGTTGGCCAAGTCGCCATTTTCACATAATAATGTATCATCTCAAGGCCTTTAAGCAGCAAATGAACCCGAGGGGCAGGAGTAACAACAGTTGCCTCCTTTACTGGTGAAGTGAGAGTGTTATTTCAATGACCATACCTTTACATGGGCGAGTTATCTCTTTGTAGAGCTCTCTTCTAGTCTGTGCTGACTAGTTTGATGTCAACTTGACAGGCTGGAGTCATCTGAGAGAAGGAAACTCCAATTGAGAAAATGCCTCCATAAGATCAGGCTGTAGGCAAGCCTGTAGAGTATTTTCTTAATTAGTGACTGGTGTGGCAGGGCCCAGCCCATTGTGGGTGGAGCCATCTCTGAGCAGGTGGTCCTAGGTTCTGTAAGAAAGCAAGCTGAGCAAACCATGGGGAGCCAGCCAGTAAGCAGGACCCACCCCACCATGGCCTCTACATAGTTCCTGCCTCCAGGTCCTGCCCTGTTTGAGTTACTGTCCTGACTTTCTTCAGTGATGGACTAAGGTATGGAAATGTAAGCTGAAATAAACCCTTTCCTCCCCAAGTTGCTTTGGTCATGGTGTTTCATCACAGTAATAGTAATCCTAACTAGGACATAGTCTAAATGTCTTGTCACCATGCCAACAGCCAAAATGACACTGTTAAGATTGTGCTCTAGCTTCCTCTCTTCAATCACACCCTAGCAGTCACTGCTAATGAGGAAGTCAGGGGTCTGGAGGCTCCTCCCAACCTTGGCTATGAGGTTCCAGTTAATCCAAGTCACTGGTAGAGCACCCTGATCCTTGTTATTGAGTAATTAGACATTGATGCCAACTTGACAGGAGAAGAGTCTCCCCAGGGCTTTCTTGAAGAGACTGACTCAGTGTTACGGGGAGAAAGACGGAAGGCCACCTCACTGGTCATCTTGGGAGCTGAGTGCTGTGTGTGGAACATGTGCCGTCATCCAGCACCAGCCTCTGTGTGGTGCGCCCTGTTGGAGAATGTGAGGTTTCCAAGAAGGCAATGGAGACCCTACCTCATGCCCCGTGGAGAAAGCTGATGTGTCTTGGTTGTGTTTCCTCTTACCTAGAGCCCACATCTTCCTAAGGAATTCAGGAAGAGAGGTGGACAAGTGTCTGCTCACCCGGGTACCTTGGGATTGTCCCTGATGCCTGCAGGCTCAGTTCCAGGTGACTTGGACTTTGGTCCCATCTCCTGACTTTGAGAAGTGATTGGAGTAAGTGGATGTTTGCATTCTCAAATCAGTTTTTCTTTCGACCCTTTCACTTCCAGTCGATATGGAGAATTTTCCAGCTGGTTTTACTTTTTTGAGACAGGATCTTACTGTATTGCCAGGGCTGGCATAGAATTTGCTAGGTAAAAAAAAATGCTGGCTTGGAATTTATGGTAATCCTGCTGCCTTGGCCTCCTAAGTGCTAGAATTAAAAGCATGAAACACCACACTTGCATTACTACTGACTTAAAAAAAAACATCGATCATATGTTTGTATATGTATGTCTGTGTGGGTTTGTGCATGAGTACAAGCATGTGTAGAGGCCAGAGACAGTGGATCCCTTGGAGTTGGAGTTACAAGGCCTTGTGAGCTTTCTGATGGGTGCTGGGAACCAAACTCAGGTCCTCTGCCGCAGCAGTGGGTGCTTCTAAATTCTGAGTTGTTTCTCCAGAGCCTCAGTCCACTTTTAAATCACTGACAATTTTATGCATGTCTAAAATGTGCTATGGTCATATTCACCCCACTACCCTCTTTCCTTCCCCTTGCATGCCTGCTGGGGACTCCTTTGTGTGTGTTTGCAGGCCTTGGGCAGGTAGCTACAGTCTGTCTTTCTGTTCCCTTTCCACAGTGTTCCCTGAGCCTTAGAGGGGTGACACTGATGTGCTCTTTAGGGCTGAACACTCAGCAGTCACTTGTTCTCTCAGCACTGTGACCCCCCCCCCCGACTTTTGAAGCCTGTAGACCCGGACAGCTACAGAGGTCCCGCAACAGAGATCTGCATATTTTCTCCTCAGTTCCTTTGGCGTGAAAACTAAGGGTAAGGACACACTGAAACCTTTTTAGGCAATGAAAAACTAAACCTTACAGCTTGCACAGGTGGTATGCACATCATCTATCTGTCTGTATCTATGTATCTATGTATCTACCTATCATCTATCTATCTATCTATCTATCTATCTATCTATCTATCTATCTATCTATCTATCTATCTATCAATCAATCATTTAATTTATTTGAGACAGGATTTCTCTGTGTAGCCCTGGCTGTACTGGAACTTGCTTTGTAGACCAGGCTGGCCTCAAACTCAGAGATCTGCCTGCCTCTGCCTCCTGAGTGCTGGAACTAAAGGCATGCACCCCAATGCTCTGCAAGTATGCGTAGTCTTATCTGCTACTTCTCTCCATGCTTCACTATGACTTGGCCACACCTTGTCACTCACTCTCAAACTGTGGTTAAGCATGGAGACTACTTTTTCTTATGTCCTTGTGGTCTCCAAATGATCAATACCATGTCTCCTGCCAAAAGTCATAATATAGTAGATTAGGTCAATTCTGGACTTGCATATGTGTAACAGGAGATTAGGGTGCCAGTGGCAGTTTGAGGTAAGCTGCCATGCATGACACGTGCCTCTGGTTTGTCATAGACTACCATGTTGGGAGAACTCTAGTTCATGATAAGGAGTGAAGGAGTTTGCGATCTGTTTAAATAGCTTACTGTGCAGTCTCTAGATTAACTTTAAATAACAAGGACGGCACCGATAGACCTGCCAACACTGGGGGGAAAGCCCAGGAGGCCTCAACCCTAGACAAAGAACTGCAACAACTAAGGAAGCCTAGAGCAGGAGAAACAGTCTTCCCGGGGAGAAGCATGCCAATTGGCTATCCAAAACCAAATGGTCAGTCCTGAAAAATACAAAGAAGTAACATGACATTGAGCAGCTTGTGTTTATATGTTTAGGAACACACAAACACACACTACAACAATTAAAGAAAAAGAGGCCATTAATTTGAAAGGTAGTAGGGATGGGGTACCTGGGAGCGTTTGGAGGATAGGGTACCTGGGAGCGTTTGGAGGATGGAGAGGAAAGGGTAAATGCTGTAATATTATAATCTCAAAAACTAAAAAAAAAAAAATTACTAAAAAAAATAAGTAAAAGAATGGAAAGCCAAGCATGGTGGTGCAGGCTGTTCGGAGGCAGGAGGATCTCTGTGAGTTCCAGGCCAGGCTGGTCTACATAGCAAGTTCCAGAACAGCCAGAGCTGTATAGAGAGGCCTTGTTTCAAAGCAAACAGATGGACACTTCAGTGATGGGGAAGTGGCCCAGTTGGTAAAGTGCCCACCTTACACGAAGGAGGAGCTGTCCTAGAGTCTCTAGCACTGTGATAAAACACTGAGACCAAAAACATCTTGGGGAAGAAAGGGTTTATTTCATCTCACAGCTTGGAGATGAAATCTCCAAGGAATCTCCAGGGAAGTCAGGGCAGGAACTCAAGACAGGAACCTGGAGGCAGAAACTGATACAGAGGTGTCTTAGTTAGGGTTTCTGTTGCTATGAAGAGACACCATGACCACTGCAGCTCTTATAAAGGAAAACATTTAACTGAGGTGGCTGCTTACAGTTCAGAGGTTCAGTCCATTATCATCATGATGGGGAACATGGCAGCGTGCAGACAGATATGGTGCTGGCGACATCTTGACCGGAAGGCAACAGGAAGTGGACTGTGTCACTGGGTGATATCTGGAGCATAGGAAACCTCAAAGCCCGCCCCCACAGTGACACACTTCCTCCAACAAGGCCACACCTACTTCAACAAAGCCACACGCCCTAATAGTGCCACTCCCTGTGAGCTTATGGGGGCCAGTTACATTCAAACTTCCACAAGAGGCCATGGAGAAATGCTGCTTCTTGGCTTGCTTCTCATGCCTTGCTCACCCTGGCTTCTTATACAACCAGGGACCATCACCCACAGTGAGCTGGATCCCTCACATCAATCATCAGTCAAGAAAGTGTACCTCAGACTTGCCCATAGGGCAATCTGTTGGGAGCATTTTTTCCAGTTGTGATTGCTTCTTCCCGAATGACTCTAGCTTCTGTCAAGGTGACATAAAACCAGCCAGCACAGGACCTGAGTTTGGATCCCTAGGACTCCCGCAAAAAGCTAGGCATAGTGGTACAGCCAGCAAATCCAGCTCTTGGGGTATCATCATGGGGGATAGGCAGATCTCTGGGTGTGTCACCCGGAGGAGATAGGTAGATCCCTGGGGCTCAGTGGCCAGCCACCCTCGTCAAATCGAGGAGCTTCAGGTTCTGTGAGAGACACTGTCACAACACAAGCCCTCCAACACACTCACCCCAAAAAGCAAAACCAAGAGAGGATGAGAAGTCTGCGGGACAAGCCTGCCTGGTCGTATACCTTTTATGAGTGCATGCCTGTGTGTGTTTAAGAGCAGACACTGTAGACACACACACTATTTAAACGAAGTTAAAAGGATTCAGTTTTTACAATCCCTGAAATGACTGCAGCACAATTGCGATGTGAAGACCCCTGATTTTGCAAGCTATTTTTTTTTTTCAGAATACTTGTCACAGGGCATGCCAGTTACTTGATGATGGCCGACTCTCCTTTGAATGGCAGGGTCTGTGTCTGTGGTACTCTCAGATTTTATTTTTACATGACCATCCCATTCTTGGAGCAGCTGAGCTTCTCGGGGCTCCTCCCCACCTCTACACTTCACATGGTCCCATGTGCCACTGGATTGGTTTAGATGCTGGGAATTGTTTGTCCTTCTTGCCTGTTCTGGTCATTTCAGTTTACAAAAGGCCAAATTAAAGTTGACCTTGAGATCTTACAGGGTGTGGACGCGTGTCCACATACGGTAACTTCTCCTTGGTTCTCAAAACCAAGAGACAAGTCAATGTGGAAAACCAGAAAAAGAATTTTTTAAAGAAAATAATCACCACCGAATGTCTGCATTTCTTTCCAGTCTTTGTCTGGCAGGGCTCTAGATGCCCAAATCTGGAGGTGTCAGGCCCTTACATAAAATGGCATAGTGTTTGGGATAACCTATGTCCAGTCTCCTAAAAACATCATCATCTTTAGATTACTTAAGATTCCTAGCTCAAAATAAATGCTGTATAAACAGTTGTCTAGGGAATAATAACAAGAAAAAAGTGCCATACATTTTTCATTGATTTTTTAAAAAGATTATTTTATTTGTGTGTGTGTGTGTGTGTGTGTGTGTGTGTGTGTGTGTGTGTGTGTGTGTGTGTTTGAGTATGTGCATGTGAGTGAGACCAGAAGAAGGTATCAGATCCCCCAGAGCTAGAGTTACAGGCAGTTGCGAACCACCCACTGTGGGTGCTAGGACCTCAACTCCAGTCCTCTGCAAGAACAGTTCAGCTCTGTCAACTGCTGAGCCATCTGTTCAGTCCCTAAAAATCTTTTCAGTACTGTGGATTAAACCCAGGGCTTTGTACATGCCAGTCAATGACTGTACCACCCAGCTACATCCCTATCAGGGACTGTACCACCCAGCTACATCCCTATCAGGGACTGTACCACCCAGCTACATCCCTATCAGGGACTGTACCA